AAAAAACAGACAGAAGATATTAGAGACACCAATCAAGCAGAACACAGCAAACTCCGAGACCAATAAACACAGACCAAGACTCCCAACCAATCAGGATGAAGAAAAAACCATTCTGGCACAGCAATAGGCTTCCCCAATTTTAAATCTGAAACCACTGTAAAAGTCTGACTCACAGACGGACACAATACAGAAGCCTGATGATGGCAGATGGTACTTACATGTATGGTATTCAGCTTTGGTCGGGTATTTTCCCACGTCATTGTAGTTGTGCTTTTAAAGTTGTAGCAACTTTATTTTTTTTCTGCCGAAACGTTGCTACAACTTTAAAAGCACAACTACAATGCTGTGGGAAAATACCCGAGCAAAGCTGAATACCATATATAAACACACACACACACAAATATATATATATTCACACAAATACACAACACACACACATAATTAATAAATAAAATTAAAATCTCCACAAATGAATATTGAATGGTTAAAAGTGATATAGTAATCAGAATAAATCTTGTTCAACATTAGAAGAAAGATACAATTGTGAAAATATCTGATTGGAAACTTAAACTAGGAGAATATACAGCAATCAAAAATCTAGCGGCATATAACTAGTGTCTCATTGGTTAAGAACATTGAGCTTGTCAGCTGTAAAGTTCGAGACCCGAAAACCATGCCACAGGGTGAGCTGAGCTCCCATTATTTTCCCCAGCTCCTGTCCAACTAGAAGTTTGAAAGCAAGCAAATACAAGTAGGTGGGAAGGTAACAGTGTTCCGTGCGAGTCGTGCTGGTCATATGGCCACAGAAGTATCTTTGAACAATGCTGTCTTCCTTGGCTAAGAAATGGAGATGAGCACCATCCCTAGAATTGGACACAACTGGATAGAGGAAACCTTTACCTAATTTAGTCTCATAAAATTTTATTGAGAATGGAAATAGGTGGTGCATTTTTAATGTAACTTTGTTGGTTTAATGGGAAAGACTGTCCAAATATTTATTGCTCTCTTTCCCAGTACAATTGAATCTAAAACCAGCTATCTTCATTCCTAACCCCCCCTCCCCCCGGGGAAATAGTAATTGTTTTTCCACATTTCTGTTTACAATACATATTGTCACAACATAGTAACCTTTCCTAAGTATGGTTTAATAGTATATGCTATGTCATTTTAGTTGAAGCTAATCAAACTTAGGTTTGATGAATGTGTAAAAGAGGAATTTCTAGGAAGAAATGCTGTAATGAAATTATACTATTTTATGCATTATTAAATTTGTATCCTGGTCTTTTGTTTGTAGAAGTGCTCATAATGCATTTTTATGTACAACAATAAAAGAACACGAATAAAGATATAATAACAGTAATACAATTAAAATGAAGTCCCTAAATTAAAATCAGGATCATTAAAATATTTAAGAATTAAAAGTATGTTAAAAAAGCAGGAGTGTCTGAGTTTGGAGAATCAAATAGTCAAGATTACAGGTATGGCAATATAGTCAAAGGCCCACTCTTCTTCTTCTTCTTCTTTTACACACTTCAATTGCACAGTTGCAGTTACCAACTTGACTTTGTTATTTTTCTCTGTGCACTTCTACCACACCATGTATTTAATACTTATCTCACACCCATCTTTATTTCCTTTGAAAGCCATGGGGGAATTAAAAGGGGAGGATTTACACATTCTTAAATACCTCCCCAACAGGGGTGGGATTCTACCAGTTCGCACCTATTCACTAGAACCGGTTGTTAACATTCTAAGCAGTTCAGAGAACTGGTTGTTAGAAGAAATTACTGGCCTAATCCTGTAAGGAAGGCAGGAAGGAAACAGTCTGGTGTTGCTTACAGAAACTGCCTCTCTGTTAACCCTTATTACATTCTTAGCAGGACTGGACTTCCTGTCTCAGGAACATCTCTGGAGTTTTTTTCCCCTCCTTTGCTGGTACTTTGCTTGTGTGGAGTGACCATTCAAAGTTACAATGGCACTGAAAAAAGTGACATATAACCATTTTTCACACTTATGTCTGTTGCAGCATCCTCACAGTCATGAGAGGCCAGGCAAGGAGATGCGTGCCTCGATGTGAGTGATATTGAGTTGGCCACGCCCAGCCAATAACATGACCACCAAGCCACATCCACCCGGTCTCATAACCACCAAGCCATACCCACCAACTAAGCCATGCCCACAGAACCGATTGTTAAAAAATTTGAATCCCACCCCTGCTCTCCAACATCTTTTCTCACCTTGCAATCTAGTCAGATGAAGAAACCAGACCATGAGTACAATAGGTGAAAAAGTCATAGTTGTCTTCTGCTGTGATCTGAAAGGCTTCCAAAGTAGTTCAGTTCCAGTCAGTTTCTCAATCTTTTGGTATTGGTTTAGTAAACTGTAACACAAAGAGTAAAGGTATTAAAATCTAGAAATGTCCATTCTTTACAGCTTCTAAATTAAGGCAGGGTCTCTAAGAGACAATCTGGTGATATCTGCATGGCAGCAGTGGGTACAATATTACCAAAATGAGTAGAGTTGTCAGGTACAGAAGACCAGGTCCACATATGAAAGTTCAATTAATTTGATTAATTGTTAAAAGCCTATGCACATAAATCTTTTCAACTAATGTTCAGCACCTGATTAGAGTTAGATAAGGGACAATGACACACAAATAGGCTGGGGTGGAGTGGACGTTGTTTGTGGGTATATAGGGATTCTAGGCTGATACTTCTTTTCGCCCCTTCTCCAGGCTCTGCCATTTCTTTCTCCTACATAATCAGAACAAATTATGGTGAAGTTTGCAAAATGGCTTGAAACCTACATGGACCTAGGCTGCAGACCACCTGAATGGCAAATCTTGAATCTTTTTGGGGGGATTTTGGAGCTATCTTTTCAATCACACAAGGACTAGTCTCTTACATACAATTTGGATAAACATAGCAGAAACACGATAGGAAAAAAGGACAATAATCTTAGATTTATTTTTCTTTAGATTTATGTCTAAAGAGAACATATTTTCTTGGAACAAAGAAAGGACAACCTGAAAAATTGACAAATCTGAAAAGGTTCATAAGGATTTAAAAAAAACTGTATATAACTGCTTCACAAAAGAAAATTCAAGAGCAAAACCAAGAAAATAAATAATTAAATGAAATAAATTTGAAGGCAGCTATGTGTAATAAAGGACAGAGCTTTATAAAAAGGACACAGGATTCCTATATTTATATCCTATTTTTTTCTCTAAGAGCTCTGTAAATCAATATCTTTCTATAAGAATTTGAGAAAGCTGTTGCTTTCAGATCAATCTGGCTTTCTCCAGAGCTATTATATCACACAGGATCTCAAACATATATCCCTTACTGTTAATTTTAGTGAAGTGATTTAAGACTGGCAGGGGGTTGTTACCACCAATGATCAGTGTCTTCCAGCTTTGCTTTTTGCAGTTTCATTATCTCTGATTGATGGTCATTCATCCTTTTCTTAAACGACTCCAGCAAAAAACAGCTCCTGACTCTTGAGGCTCTCTTACCATTGAACCACTCAATAATTAAAAGTTCTTTCCAAGATTTAGTTGAAGCTTACTTTCTTACCATTTTTCAACCAACGTTCTATCCTCTGGAGCAACAGCAAACAAGTTTGTTCCATTTTCTTGTATGTGATAACTTTTCAGTTATTTGATGACTGCTTTCATGGACCCCATTTGTTCTTTCGAGTATAAACATATCCAGATCTTTGGACTTTTGTCATCAACATTTGGTGCCTCAGGATAAGGCAGATATTGTCTAATTGCCCTAACTTGTTAACTAAATGGCTATGTTGTCACAAAATATATAACTCAATTGTTGAATCAACTATTTTCAGGATTTTCAAAACACACTGGCTGTATATTGACAAAATTAGTAGAAGGTCTAAGTTTGTGGTCAAAATGAACCAATAATCAATTTCTTTTGGAAGAGGGGGGATATTTTCAGATGACATTCTTTTTCTTTTATAACCTACCTCAGTTTTCATACAATTTCTTCTTTCTTTAATTTTTTTAAACTCAGAAACATGTAGTATACATTCTTGTACACAAAGATAGTGCTAAAGAATAGTGTGAGTTCCAAAAAACCAAAATAGCCAACAGATGGGAGACCCTTGATTTTCTTCTTTTAGAAATAGCTTCAGCATGTGAATCTAATCCTTCCCAGTAACATCAGTTACTACACAAAGATAGAATGGTGATAAAATATAGTCCTCTTTCTGTAAGAAATTTTCTACCCCTTTGTTTAAATATTCCCTCTTGAACTGATGTTACTGGGAACGATTAGATTCATATGCTGAAGCTATTTCTAAAAGAAGAAAATCAAGAGTCTCCCATCTGATGGCTATTTTGCTTTTTTGGAACTCTCACTATTCTTTAGCAATGTCACTCTTCCAATTCATCAATGGCTCTTCTTACCTGCTCCTTTCAGGATCTGCTGGAAATGAAGATACTTCCAGTGATTTGCTCTGGATTATAAATACTCAGCATCATCAGTACATACCAAAACTTATGGTACCATTACACGTTACTCATCCTAAAACAATGAACAATAACATATTTTGATATTGTTCAACTGGTTCAACATTGGAGATTTATTCTTCACAGCTGAATTAATGTGCTATCCACCATTTCTTGATTTGACAGAAAAATATGCAGGCATAGCTATGCTGCCCTGATAGCCGAAACCTATTCCGCCTTTGAGCTGTGACAAGTTAAGGAAAATCCTGTGTAAAAATATGTAATAGTTGAATATCACTTTGAGAAGAAGAAAGTCATAGTACCGACCACATTTTTCTCCCTTCATGCTAACTTCACACTTTAGTATTTGGTGGTGAAACTGTACCTGTAAAACTCTGACCAGGAAGGATCATGAAATAAGGGATTATTTAAATTATAGCTTCCTCCTTTGATTCTAAGGTATACAACACTTTTTGAAGGAAAATAAGGTTAATATGGAAATGACATGAGAAATTATACGGATTGAAAAGGAAGATGGTGTTTTAGTTTGCTCATGAATGTTTTTTAAACATTTGATATGACTATAAATACATGTTAGATTAGGATTAGGCAAAATATAAAAGAATTCTCGTTGAAGCTAGTATAGCTCTCTGAAATGGACAATTCTTGCTTATGGTTCAGATGGCTTAAATAGATGTTTCTTTCCTGCTCTGTTCAGAAAATCCCATTAAAGAAATAATGTGCAAGCCTTGACATGGAAATGTGTTAGTTACTCATTCTTTACCATGCTAAACTAACAATAGAATCTTTGGATATTGTTTTTGTCTGTAAAAGAAAAATATAATTTTCCCCTCAGAAACTGATTTAAAGAAAAATGATATGTATTTAAGATTCCAGAGTGTCATGTTCTCAGGGAAGATAATATGCTTTAAACATTAAGTATTTTGATGAAATAATTGCCAAAATAAAACCAAGACACACATGCAGAATTTTTAATACAGAGGGATCACTCATAGGACCTGGTTACTCTAGACTGGAAAGTAAAGAAGAAATGAATTTCAGAAGAAGGCAGTGACAAACAATTTCTCCATAATTGACAAGAAAACTACACCCAGATCTTTCCATAAAATCACAAAGATTACACTCAATTTAAAGGAGATTTTACTTTGTCCACATTAATTGAAATTAAAACAGAAAATAGTGAACTGATCACTATTCAACTCACGCTTTACTATTTGAAGGAATGCATTTTCCCATATGTATCTATTGTGACCTGCTCCAGATCTCCCCAACCCCAAAAGGGAGATGAGGTAGGTCTCTCCTAGAGAAAGAAATTTTTCGATGGTTGTACTTTAATTATGGAATCTCCAAAGAGAATCAATGAACCCATCATTTTTAACCAAACAGTTTCTCAGTTTTGTAGAGATACTGGAACAGATATCATGGTATTTGGTGGGAACCAGACCCACATTTCTGGAAGGACAAGTTTAGTAAGGTTATAATATTAAAGTATGCTTTGTATGAGTCCCCTGGCCAGAGAGAGAGGTTCTAATAAAGGTGAACTGAAGATCTAGTTCTCTGAAGAAGACTCTAATGATGAGAAAAATAGAAGGAAAGAGAAGAAGATAATAACTAGTAGCAAGGCAATGCATTTAGTTACAATGGTAATGGGTGTACTGTTGACAGGCTTGCAAGACCAGATTAGGGATAGATTGTTATGGAGAAAATCTTTATATATGGTTGCTAAGAATTGACAATGACTTGGTGGCACATAATCAATAAGATCTAAGATTCCTAAATGTACAGGAGTAGGCCCTTAGTATATTTAAAAATGGAACCTTGAGAAATCTTTATGTTGTTTGGTATACTACAACAAGGAGAATACCAGAATTTCTGAGTTCCATCGCTGAGGATTAGTTTGGGTTTACATGGTTTGAGAAATAGTTTTTTTAAAAATCTTTCCTGCATATTTAGCTGGATTCCTGATTTTTATCTGCCTTTAGATTAAGTCAGATTCTTTAATCTGTCTGTGACCTTGAGTGCCTTTCTATTGTATATATGACTGATCCTTTTTAATCACTGAAATTTCTGCATGTTAATGAAGAGACCAAGAAAGGAATTATCTTCTTGTTGCTTCTGATGTCAAGTCCAAAGAACTGTGAGTGTAAGTAATGCTTCCAGCATGTGTCATGCTGATTTTGTTTCTCTATGGTTGATCATTGCCCATTTTCCCCATATCTATAAATAAAACATGAAACAAAATTCAAATGAAGTAAAACATATTTAGAAAAAAATCAGATGATCCTGAGAGCAATTTTAAATGTTCTAATAATTTGCGCCCAATCAGATACACCTGTTTCTAATTTTAGATATTTGAGGAAGTGATATATATACACTGTTCAAAAAAATAAAGGGAACACTTAAACAACAAATGTAACTCCAAGTTAATCACACTTCTGTGAAATCAAACTGTCCACTTAGGTAGCAACACTGATTGACAATCAATTTCACATGCTGTTCAAATGGAATAGACAACAGGTGGAAAGCATAGACAGTTAGCAAGACATCCCCAATAAAGGAGTGGTTCTGCAGGTGGTGACCACTGACCACTTCTCAGTTCCTATGCTTTCTGGCTGATGGTTTGGTCACTTTTGAATGCTGGTGGTACTTTCACTCTAGTGGTAGCATGAGACGGAATCTACAACCCACACAAGCAGCTCAGGTAGTGCAGCTCATCCAGGATGGCACATCAATGCGAGCTGTGGCAAGAAGGTTTGCTGTGTCTGTCAGCGTAGTGTCCAGAGCATGGAGGCGCTACCAGGAGACAGGCCAGTACATCAGGAGACGTGGAGGAGGCCGTAGGAGGGCAACAACCCAGCATTAGGACCGCTACCTCCACCTTTGTGCAAGGAGGGACAGGAGGAACACTGCCAGAGCCCTGCAAAATGACCTCCAGCGGACCACATATGTGCATGTGGCTGCTCAAATGGTCAGAAACAGACTCCATGAGGGTGGCATGAGGGCCCGACGCCCACAAGTGGGGTTTGTGCTTACAGACCAACCCCGTGCAGGACGTTTGGCATTTGCCAGAGAACACCAAGATTGGCAAATTTGCCACTGGCGCCCTGTGCTCTTCTCAGATATAAGCAGGTTCACACTGAGCACATGACAGACATGACAGGGTCTGGAGACGTCGTGGAGAATGTTCTGCTGCCTGCAACATCCTCCAGCATGACCGGACTGCCATTAGGTACCGAGATGAGATCCTCAGACCCCTTGTGAGACCATATGCTGGTGCGGTTGGCCCTGGGTTCCTCCTAATGCAAGACAATGCTAGATCTCATGTGGATGGAGTGTGTCAGCAGTTCCTGCAAGACGAAGGCATTGATGCTATGGACTTGCCCGCCCATTCCCCAAACCTGAATCCAATTGAGCACATCTGGTACATCATGTCTCGCTCCATCCAACAATGCCACGTTGCACCACAGACTGTCCAGGAGTTGGGGGATGCTTTAGTGCAGTGTGGGAGGAGATCCCTCAGGAGACCACCCGCCACCTCATCAGGAGCATGCCCAGGCATTGTAGGGAGGTCATACAGGCATGTGGAGGCCACACACACTACTGAGCCTCATTTTGACTTGTTTAAGGACATTACATCAAAGTTGGATCAGCCTGTAGTGTTTTTTTCCAGTTTAATTTTGAGTGTAACTCCAAATCCAGACCTCCGTGGGTTGCTAAATTTGATTTCTATTGATAATTTTTGTGTGATTTTGTTGCCAGCACATTCAACTATGTAATGAACACAGTATTTCATAAGAATATTTCATTCATTCAGATCTAGGATGTCTTATTTTTGTGTTCCCTTTATTTTTTTGAGCAGTGTAGGTGTGTACCTACTTTTTAAACATTTGCATTTGCAAATTTGCAATTTGCATTTTTATTCAATTAAATTATATAATGGACTACAATAATGAAAACAGCGCATCACATGTGTTATATTGTATTCCTTTTATCTGTTTATATTGTTAAAATAAAAATCTTTGTGTCAACATATTTTGAAAAAGTTTTAAAAAATCAGTGAAGGAAATGGGAACCAAAGTGTCTAGATGTACAGAAGATGGACAGATGGATGGATAATGAGATCCTTGCTGGCTTTCCAGATAGACTAATGGAAATTTGGGTCTTTCAGAGTTTTGACTTTTATACAGTCTGTATCACTGGATAATCTTGAATTTCAATTCAGAAATTCTGTGAAGTTACATAAACTAATTAACTAGCTAACTAGCTATCACAAATTGTGATGGTTAATATGGAAAAGTCTATTTCTTCTCTCCATTTCATTTAAGTATCATTTTCTCTGAACTGCTGTACTGTATTCATTTTTTTAAAAAATTCCATCGGAACCAACTGAGTTTTTTTAAACCCCTTTTGTGCAAATTGTTCCTGGATACTAGATAACCAACACAAGGGCCTGGATCCTGCCCACTGTAAATGCATGGTAGTCTCTGCTTGGACTAGGTCATCTTGCATTTCCCCCGTTGCAAATTTAAGCAACATTATTTTTTGTTTGAAAATTTTTTAGTTATATTTTACAAAGCATATACATAACAAACAATACGAACTAATCATCAAAAGAAGTGATAAAGAGTAAAAAGAGAATAGGTATAGAAGTATGAAAAAGTATGTAAAAAAAAAGAAAGGAAAACACGAATACTGTATATACAAAGAATAATCCAACTTCTTCCGTGGATACAGAACGCTTGTTCTTAGTTTAAGACAATAATAACATGTTGATTCCCCACTCCCAAAAAAGGCGTTAGTAAAAAATTTGTTTTATCCTTTTTAAATTTTAACATTCATCAAATCTATATATTTAAATTTGATTTTTCTCTATCTCCTGCAAAAAGTCCATAAAGAATTTCCAAATATACATGAATTTCCTCAGTGATTTTTTTTCTCCCAAAGGCCATTAATTTAGCCATCATTGCCAGTTCTGTCATTTTTATTAATCATTTCTCTATTGTGGGTATTATAGGATTTCCCCAATTCTGAGCATATAAAAGTCATGCTGTGGTTATCATATATGACAAAGAACATATGATTTCCCACACTGTTTTATTCATAAATCCTAACAAAAAAGTTTCTGGTCTAAATTTGTACATTAATTTTAATTTGTTTTTTAATTACATTACTAATTTCCCTCCAATATATTTTAACTGTTTTTTCAAGTCTGCCAAAGGTGTTAAAGGGTTCATATCTGAGTCTTATATTTCCAGCAATAACTTGAGGATCCTTTATATATTTTAATCAATTTATCTGGGGATAAATATCATCTATGCATTATTTTATAGAAATTCTCTTTGAGATTAAAGCATAAAGTAAATTGCAGTCCCTTTATCACATGTTTTCACATAGATCAACTGATATGTTATATTGATTTTTTTTGCCCAGTTTATCATACTTTTTAACCAGTTCATCTTCTCTTTCCACAATTATACTTTTTAGCGATAAAGCATTCATTGTTTCTACACAGTTCCATTTCAAAAAATAGTTTTATATTTGAAATCATACAATTACTTATCAGTTTTAAATTTCTCTGTCAGCTGTGTCGGGAAATTCCAAATTTATTTATTTATTTTTTATTTATTTGATTTGCCAATTGTTTACAAGATAATAAGTATAAGTGTATACATAGTTGTGAATACATGAAATGGGTACATATAAGAAAAATAAAAGAATAAGAGAAACAATAGGACAGGGACGGTAGGCACGATGGTGCGCTTATGCACGCCCCCTACAGACCTCTTAGGAAAGGGGTGAGGTCAATAGTAAACAGTCTAAGGTTAAAGTTTTTGGGGTTTGGGGAAGAGACTACAGAGTCGGGTAGAGTATTCCAGACATTGACCACTCTATTGCTGAAGTCGTATTTCCTGCAATCAAGTTTGGTGCGGTTTACTTTGAGTTTGTATCTATTGTGTGCTCTTGTGTTGTTATGGTTGAAGCTGAAGTATTCATTGACAGGTAGGACATTGCAATGTATGATTTTATATACCATGCTTAAGTCAGACCAAAGACGGCGTAATTCAAGGTTTTCTAGTTTTAGAATTTCAAGTCTGGTGGCATAAGGTATTCTACAACGAGTAGAAGAGTGGAGAACTCTTCTTGTGAAATATTTCTGGACTTTTTCAATTGTGCTAATATCAGATACGAAATGAGGGTTCCAGGCTGATGAACTGTATTCGAGTATTGGTCTAGCAAATGTTTTGTATGCTCTGGTTAGTAGTGTGATATTACCAGAGAAAAAACTACGTAGGATTAGGTTAACAACTCTTAATGCCTTTTTGGCTATGTAGTTGCAGTGGGCTCTAGCACTTAGATCATTAGAGGTGAGTATTCCAAGGTCCTTTACAGAGCTTGGGTCATCAACAAGATCTTGACTATTCAGCTTGTATTTTATTTTCTGATTTTTTTTGCCAATATGTAAGACAGAGCATTTATTTGTTGAGATTTGAAGTTGCCATTTGTTTGACCATTCAGATACATAGTCAAGATCTTTTTGTAGGGTAGCAGTATTGTCTGTGGTATTGAACAGCTTTACATCATCAGCGAAGAGAACGCAATTGCTCTTAATATGATCACAGAGGTCGTTTATGTAGAGTATGAAGAGAGTTGGTCCTAGAACACTGCCCTGGGGGACACCACTATTGACAGGTACTGGATTTGATAGGACGCTCCCGATTTTGACCATTTGTTGTCTGTTTGCCAGGAATGCTTCTATCCAGTTATTCAGTTGTCCAAATTATGAGCATAGCTGCACTTATTAAAAAAATGAACATACAGCACCCCACAAAAGTCTCACTTTTGGACTAAGCATTAAAAATATAAAGCACATACATTAGTCACATTGCAATGAGGGTTAATCAGATAAGCACTCACAAGAGATGGCTTTCGACCAACTTGTCCCAACTTGTCCTGACTCACACTTCATCATTACCTTATATATCTTAAAACCATAAACACAAGACTTTGGGGGATTCTTTCCACATTGCCATAGCAACCTGCCCTCCAGCACACCACATTTCAACATTTTTATTTTTGTACATACCACCTAGTGTTACCACCTAGTTCCCCATTTCCCACAGCCAGAGCTCCTCTCATTCTGAAATATAAGGAACTTAATGCCAATATTAAACCCATCCTTGCCCCACCCAGACTTTACTGGCTAGAAGGGCAGATGAAGGGTACAACATCAACACCAAAAAATTGCAGGCCACCATTATATTTTCCCCACAGTTGCAAATATAAAAAGCGCTGACAATTGAAACCTTCTAATGCCAGGTGTTCTCTGGATTTTAATTTAAAATAATCTGTGGAGTATTCCAATAAATCTGCATATTTGAACCATTTCTGTCAACCCCTGATTTCCTTTCTATAATATGCTTAATGGGGAAAAGCCATAAAGGTATTTTTAGGCATAATCTCATTTTATATTTATAAATAATTATATTTATATATATTCCAAATTTTCAAAATAGTTCACCTAAATAAAGTGGCTTCTAAAATCAATATAAACTTTAAGTTTATCTTACCATAGGTATGCATGCCATCTGAATCATCTGAATCTCAAGTCATGGGGTTCTAGATCAGGCGTTGCCAACTTTTGAATCCCAGGGACCACCAAACTCATAATTTTAAATCCCATGGACCATTAATATGAATTTTGACTGATGTTGGGGGGAAAGTCAGTCCCATATTCCAGAACTGCAGTAGTCATAGAACTGGCCCTTTGGTTATCCCGGAGCAGCTGCTCCTTCACTTGGATGCACCGGCCTGCCATGGACTGGAGGAGCTACTCCGGGATGACCAAAGATTTGATAGGTGACTACTGCAGCTCTGGAATATGGGACCAACTTTTCCACCAACATCAGCAAGCCACCCCGGGGCGGATTTCCCTCCCCAACCATTGGTCTCACCTTCCAGTTCCAGCTTGCATGGCTTTACTCAAGGTAAGGTTTGTGCTCGGCTGAAGGGTGGGGCCAGTGGGTGGGCAGGCCACGTGGGCAGTACAGCCTTGTGTTCCCGCGCAGCCTGGATTAATTGCTTTGGGGGGAACATTTCTCTGTGGACCACCAAAATCCCTGGCCCACTTGTTGGCAACCACTGTTCTAGAGTTAGTAATCTTGTAATCTTTTAACCAAGCAAGGCAAATGGCTACAAAATACAGTGTCAAATCTGGCAGTACTAAACCTCCCCATGCTTTTGCATCACAAAGACCTTATGTTTAAGTCATGATTTCTTTCCCTTGCCAGATAAATCTGTATATCTCTATCTGCTAGTGTTTGAAGGGTAAATCCAAAGTCAAATCTGGAATTGCCTGAAATAGAAATAATATCTGTTAGGGATACACCCTAGCAGAATGTGCATGGCAGTCAGGCAGGCAGGCAAATATGTGAGATAAACGTTTTTTGTAGCTTACACTCAGTAAAACAGATACACTGTGCTAGTTAAATAGTTTATTCCAGTAAGAGTTTTAGCATAGTCAAACAGTCCATATATCATTCACTAGTTCAGTCCGTTCGAGGATTATTCAGTTGCAAAGTCCAGTGTCGAAAAAGAGGTTAGTAAACCTACAAATATCAGTCCAGTAATATATCTCCTCGCAGTAGAGATATAAAGAAATCAAACCTCCTTTCTTCCTTCGACGTTCAAAAATTCAGCAGCAGGGAACACGCAGCTAGCAAACCATCAATCCAGCATAGTCAGCAATCCAGCAGGTTCTCTTGCTCCCTCTTATGGCGGTTTTACAACCGCACCCAAAATTACATGCTTTGCAGTTTAAAGTGACACACACTTAAACTTACTATCATAGTTTATATATATTATTTTACCCAAACTACGTCAGGTAACCTTGTTATTCCTAACAATATCCTTGGTAATATGCTCATTTATATTACGAATATTCTTCCCATCAAAACAGTTGTAGCTGATTCCATCTTTAGGCAACAAAGGGCATATTTTATTGGGGAAAAGGTTTATTTATAATGTGCCATCAAATTGGTATTGACTTTCAGTGACCACATAGATAGATTTTCTCCATGATGACCTATCCCAAGTGCCCTGGTGGTACAATGGTTAGAATGCAGTATTGCCAGCAGTTTGGATCATCAAGGAGCCTTCCATCCTTCCGAGGTCACTAAAACGAGGATCCAGATTTTTGGCGGGAAATATGCTGACTCTGTAAACTGCTTAGAGATAGCTGTAATACACTATAAAATAGAATAGAATGGAATAGAATAGAACAGAGCTGGAAGGGACCTTCGAGGTCTTCTAATCCATCCCCCTGCTCAAGCAGGAGGACCTGTATACCCTTTGAGACAAGTGACTGTCTACTCTATTCTGAAAAACCTCCAGTGATGGAACACCTATGATTTCTGGAGGCAAGCTATTCCACTGGTTAATTGTCCTCACTCTTAGGAAGTTTTTCCTTAATTCCAGGTTGCTTCTCTCTCTCTCTCTCTCTCTCTCTCTCTCTCTCTCTCTCTCTCTCTCTCTCTCTCTCTCTCTCTCTTTTTGTAAATTTTATTTGAGTTTTCACAAAAAAAAAAATACAAATAAAAGATCTTTTTTTAAAGTAGCGTAATCCCGGGTTACATTTCTTCGTACAGACACAAATTCAATTTCATGCTCATTTTTATGTTCTATTCCATATCTTATTACTGTTTCACATTTTCTGCATAGCTTCTCCCCTCTTTTAATTTTCTCAATTTTATTTTAGTTATCTTGTCTCAATTCAAATCATTATATTTATATTTTTTGTTTGTCCTGTTTCAATTATCTATTATCTTTTCTCATTAAACAAAGTTTCTCCTGTAGTTACTGATTGGAGTATGACGCCTTTATATCTTTTAAGTTTATCCATTTAATTCTTATTTAGGCTTCAATATATACCCTAAAGTTATAACTTTCAATATAATACATAACTTCCATTTGGATTCTGCTTGGTATATTCTTAAAATACACACTATATTCTTAAAAAAAGAAAAAATTATAAATATATGTAATTAAAACAACACATTCCATTCCAGTTCAATTCTATCATTAATATTAATATTCATTAAAATCTTAACTTCTTTAACATTACTTTTCAATTAAATATCATACTTCTATGGGAACAATTATAAGCTTTCCATAATTAATCCCCCCCTTCACTTATATTTTATAAAACATTAATTAATTAAAATGTTCCTGTCCCTTCCTAATTCAATTTTCTCAATTATTTTATTTCACTTATTTTATTAACAAACATTTCACTAAATTACACTATTTTATCCCTCATTTTAATCATACATTGTTTCCAATTTTCTAAAGTTATTTCTATTACTAATATAACAATACAATCTTATGTACCTTTACAGAATCCCTTTTTCAGTTAAATTTTCACCCATTATCTCTAAATAGGTCCTGTTTCTCTATATCTTGTTCCGGTCCTTTGTAACTTCTTTTCCTTTCCATCTTCCCTC